AAGAGTTTTTAAGAGTTTTAGTCAAATGCTTTATAAGATAGTATAGATGTATCATAATTCAACGTGAGGTGAATTTTACAATATTCTACATGGTATCAGCTTAATCTCCGATCCTTACCCTACCTTCGCTTCTTCATGGTTGCCATTTACAAACAAGACTCCCCCTCCCTATTTCTACCCTTTTCACTTAATCACCATAAAACTCTCTTCATTGACACATCGAACTTCACACTCAACTGAGAATGAAGGGATTATAACAATTAGATAATAGAAGTTGCTGGATTTTTCAAATGAGAAAACAAAAGATATACTTGACGGAATCTGTTGGAGATGCACAACCAGAGACAAACACATACATTTAAAGAGAAGAACAAGGACACAAAGAAGGAACTACATGTATAAATAGTGTTGTTTTTGAGGTTTTTATGCCCTGTGCGAAGATGCTAAAAAATGCCCCTATGCCTATTTTTTAAGCAAATGAAACGACGAAATATATGATGTTACTAAAGGGTTTGGAACCTAGTTAAGCTAGGAGCTCAACCCTACGCCGGATTTTATTAATTAAAATGAAAAATACAAAGGGGGACATAAAAACAAAACCCCAAAATACAAAATATAAATATATCACCTAAAACGATGTCTTCGTGCACTTATTGAATCCTTAGTAATAGAACATATGACAAAAATCAAATGGACAGGCTCAAAAAAGTTAACTTGACCCAGTTTTGTTTTGCTTTTTTCTTAATTTTACAGCTATTTTGGGTTGATTTCCAACCAATTTTTCATGGGGCTTTTGATATTATAATAAAAACAAGATAAATGTTAACATTTTGATTCCAAAATCATTAGAAACCTTTTAAAAATAAGCTTTAATTTCATCTTCCTAAAACCAAGGTTTTTTTTATCACGTTTCCACCATTACAATATTGGACAGCAAGTCAGCAACTATTACCATAAGAGAGCTTGTACCAATTGAAAATACAATGAATACATAATGTCAAAATTAATCAATTAAATGTTACTATGTTAGAATTCAGAAACAAAATCATACCTTGGTTTGAGAAACAATGCAATCGACTTCCACAGTTCCACTTCCAGTTCTAGAATCCAAATTTGAAGAACTACAAATGCAATCGACTTTGTATATAGATTTGAAGGCTTGAGATTAGAAAAACTATGAAGGATTGAGATTTGAGAGTTTAATCGACAATCGTATATTCGAGTATATATAGTCGGGCAGTCGGCAATGCGTCGACTAATCATCAAGATCGATCCATCGTTCCATGGACAGTCTTTAGACTCGTTACCGTTAATCGTCCTCCTTTGGAGCTAGAACGTCGTCTTTGAAAATCGAAAAAGTCGAACACTCAAAGAACAAAGCCGATCGTCAATTTCAGATCACCAAAGCCAATCGTCTTTTGAACTGTGATGCGTCTATTCTATAGTCACCGATTCAAATCATTGGGTTTGTTATTAACAGGCCTAGTCAGTTGGACCTCTGTTTATAATTAAAGCCCAAGTCTCAAATTATTAAGCCCCAAAACCTAAAACTAATATTATATAAAAATTTGATGCCCTTTTAAACTTTAATGCACTATACAATATATACGGGCTACATATATCCAGGACCGAACCTATGTATAAATATGTTTCAAATGAAACATATATGTACAAAAGATTCATGTTATCTGATTATCCCTTATTTTTAAAAGGGATAAATACCGCATAACATGTGTTCTTTTACCCTCATGGTCTCATATTGTGGATCTTTTTTTACTTTTTAATTATTTATAACTTATAAATTTTTATATGAATATATGTTTTTAATTTTGTAGGTCAACTCGGCAGGCTATACGATTAGGATCGACGGTCGAAAACAAGGGAAGTCCATGGGAAGAGGGTGGGTAGATGCGCACAGGAACATGAAGTTATAGGGCATTAACAGGTGGTACGCCTACACATCTCAAGGGTTCCTCTTCTCTCTCTCGTTGGAAGAAGCCTCATCTTTCCAGTAACTTCTCTGTCCCCAGCCACTTCCTTACAATTTAACATTACAGATTCTTCTTTAACGGAAGTTTCAGGTTTCTTCATCAGTCTTCCTTCTCTGAATTTGCTTATTTCCTCTAATTCTTCATCATTTTTGGTTGTCTATCTGTGTATGTACATGTTATCTTTCACCGCTGGTTGAAAACTCTAGCCTTCTGCCTTAAGGTTTTGTTAGAATGTCTGTTCTTATGAAGAAATTGTTTCATGCTACGCTGATTAACCTAGGGCCGTTTCAGGGTTCATCTTATGTTTCAATTTGGTGCAATCAGTTATATGCGTGATTTCAGGATTAGTTTTCAGTGACATGAGTTTTGTTTAAAGTTCCGTGGAGTCAATTTACCGTAATTCAATTAGAGGAGCTGAGTTTTGCAATCGGTTGCAAGCTCATATACTATTTATTTTTGGAAAGCGTTTCGGTTGTAAGATCTTTTCTTTTTGTTGTTTTGCAGACAGCATACTTCATGGCAGTTGTACCTTGTGGGGGTACATGGGTGGCTCTGTGGGGACTTCAAGCTAAGTCAATATTGAGTGTTTCTTCAACAAGCAAGTCATTTGCACACTTGCCTCGGTGAGCATCTTTATAATGGTTTAATGTTAAATTGTGTTTATCAAACAATAGACCCTTTTGAACAAATTGTCTCATGTATTCCACTCTATCTCTATAGCCCATGCTTCATTTCGTATCTTCGGTCATTCATTAACCGACTTTGCAGTTACTATCTCTTTCATTTTTGTTCTACTTGGCTGGGCTTTTTGCAGCCCCATTGTGTGGGTTTAATTTTGTGCATTTTGGTTGTATTTCTGTCTTTTGGGAAGGTTAAGTTGTCATTTTGATACGGAGGGGCTCGCGATGCATAATTCTTGGAAGACTAGATGAATCTTCAAGTAATTATATTGAAGAAATTTTGAACTCACAATTGAGTGAACAGTAAATGGTATGCAGGCGTCTGTATAACTATTTTGTGTTGTTGGGCAGGAGAAAAGCAGTCATATCCATTTAAATTTCCAAACACTTGATATCTATGATATCAATTGATCTCTTGGTATGCTTGAACCTGAAGTTCTTTTTGTTCAGGTCATGCTATTAACCTAGAAATTCTTCTTGACCTCGTGAAAGCTTACAAATACTTTCAGGAGTAATTTGGTGGGGGTGGGAATAAGAGCTTTGGTTTTGGCTCCTCCGGATAGGGTTACTCAAAAATCAAATTTTCTTTTATTTATGGATCACTCGAATAAACGCAGCACTTCGTGAAAGGGGGTTTGCTGATTTGTTATGAGGGCCAGTTTATTGGTATCTCCTGTTATAGCTACTTGGATAAATGGACCAGTCAAACTCTGTTTGGGGTTTCATTTGGCTCTGCATGCAGATACATGATTCATACGTTAAAAGAAGAGAGTTAATGGATGACCTGGCCGTTGTTCATTATGGTGCATCAATATTAAATGCTTTATGTGTTATGTGTTTTTTATGTATGGGGATATGGTAAAAGGAGAGTGCGTTGACACACTTGAGCAACTTTTAAGAGGGATTTAATGTTAAGTTGATAAATATTTATTTCAGATACCGTGATGTCGTCTTCTCTAACATAAACAAAGCTGATCTCCCGCTTCTTCGATTTTATTAATATCTTTTTGTTTTGCGCCCTCACTTTTAAGAGGGATTTAATGTTAAGTTGATAAATATTTATTTCAGATACCGTGATGTCGTCATCTCTAATATAAACAAAGCTGATCTCCCGCTTCTTCGATTTTATTAATATCTTTTTGTTTTGCGCCCTCACTCACTTGATTCTGCAATCTTAAAAAATCTTAAAAGTAGTATACATGTTCTTTGTCTCGTGCACACACACACTCGCCAACAGACCACACACGTCTTATGAACATATACCACACACGTCTTATGAACATCCTTTGATTTCCCCCTCTCGGTCACTTATCCTTCTCTCTGATGCATTATGATCTTTCTTTCTCATTGTATCATCATTTGCCATTTATGTCATCTATCAACGCCACACGTTTCTAACTAGCATTATATGATTGTAAGGTTGGGAAATAGCTACTATTTTGACAATATTTTTTTTACTGTTAACTTCTTTCACTTGCCTCTCTCTCATAGGAACCTTGATGAAAATTTCTTCAAACTTGATTCATCTAAGAAATAAAACCCAAATAGAACTACTTCGACAAAGTTCCAGATTTTTATATCTAGATTCCCCTTCTTGGTGTACTGCATTTAAACGTATTTGTGTCCTAGGTGTTATATCGGTGTGCTAGGGAACCGATGTTTGGAAGACATGAATGAGGGGTTCATTGTTATTAAAAAAGGAAATTTATTTGATATCTTAGAATTATGACATGAGTGAGAGATTCGTGCAACATTGATATGGTTTGCAAGTAGCAATAGGAGAGATGAAATTATTGATGCATTTAAATTCCATTTGTTAAAGAAAGGTTATTTTGGACCCATCCAACACTCTTTGGCATGGATTTTGCAGCTTCTCTGTGATTAAGTGCAATGAGAAATAGAGGTGCAATGTAAAAGCATAAATTTATCTGTTTCAGAATTGAAGCGGCCAAAACTTTTTCTAATCAATGTGGTAGAGACATGCCACATTTTCTTGTAACAGTTGGAACTATGCTAGACATGAAAAATATAAGCCAACTTACACATTTTCAAGTTTGTGAGATTCTGTACATGACACCAAATACCCCGACCTCTTAAATTCTGTGTACAAATTTTTACAAACTGTTGATTTTAGTACTTGGATTATGATATTTGCTTGAAGCTTACAAACATGGTTTGTTCAATTGCTGCACTTGTGTGGAGAAATTCTATCATATGCAGGGATAGATAATTGAAATAATACTTGCTTAATGTGAGTGTGACATATATATTGTTATCTTAAAGAAAATTTTGGTGAATTTTTCCTTACACTGTATATATGTTCTGCTGTTCATATTGAACTCTTGATGAGTGTACTTGTAGTCTGTAGATACGAAATGATATGGTCCCTGAACTAGTCATGTGGTGGGTCTAGATGCAGTTATGTCTCTTCCAAGAGGAAAACTTTCTGTTTATGTCTGGTCTTTTGTTAACTGATATGACCATATAAGCCTACATTTTCCCTAATAAGGACTGACGCAGTTATTTGAGTATGGTTAGTCATAATCTGCATAGAAGCTTTTGTCACATGTATTGATGTCGCATGATCTTTTCTTGCATACTTAGCAATGGACAATCTTTTTTTGTAAGAAAGATTTAGTTTCTGATAGCTTTTCTATGCTTAAGCTCTGAAGTTGCAGAGGGGGGGTTGGCCTTGACCATTTAAATTTGAGCTTGCCTAAGTTAATGGAAAGAACTTTCTTGTAGGTGTGTGTATTTTATTGTGTTTTGCTGATTAAACATAAATCAAGTATATCCAGTTTCATTTTTCTTCCATATCCTGTGGTTATATAAGATTTATTGTTACTATATCAGTTTTTCAACCAAGACACAAGCATTTGCATCACCATGTTCAAGCTTCTTATCTCAAGGTTCCTTGCATGCACTATATGATACGAGGTCAATTGGTAATCCTCGTCAGCGCAGAGGTGGCCGTCTTGTTGTTCGAGCTGAAGCTGTAAGTTTGCTGTTGTGTTGTTTCATTGCTTATTACATGTTGCAAAGACAATATAATCTCCATGCTTTCACTTCTGTTTTTGAAATTCATTCTTGTCTGTACTTTAATATGTTGAGAATTTTACTGTATTCTACCTTGCACACAGGATTTCTACTCGGTACTTGGTGTGTCACAGAATGCCAGCAAAGCAGAAATTAAGAGTGGTTAGTATATAAAAATTGTCCATAATAATTCATTAGAGCTTATTGAAGTTATCATCTGTTCTGATAAATGATGCATGTTTGTATGGATTGTTTTATTTGCTTCCATGCATGGGCATTTTATGATGGTAATATGTTCTGCTAGCTTCAAGGGTGCGTATACATAGAACCTATGAAAACCTTAGTTTCTGCAAAGTGAGATTTTTAAATATTTGATGGTATAATACCATAATAATAATCACAGTAATAGTCATGAAAATTGCACAATGTGGTACAAAAAACAGATTCAAGCAATGTAAATAATTTTAGCATTTTAGGTCACAGCCTCACAGGGCGTAACTCATATCAATTTTCATATAAATAATAAATGTACTGCTCATGAAACCATCAATTCGAAGATACAAATTACAAAGCAACCTAACAATCAATTCGAGTGTCTCGTGTCTTCTTCGTTTGCTCGGGTCTTGCAATTTTGTTATTGTTTCGCATCTTCTTTTAACTTGGATTCTTTCCAGCATAGTTGTCTCAAACACCTCATGTTTTTCTTGATTAATACTGCAATGTGAATAGGCAAAAAATCTCACAGAACCACAATTTTTCTTGCAAAAATTTGAATCATACATTCATACCGAGTAATTAGCTACGTACATCTCCAGTGATCAATAGTTGTCATTTTCATGTCTCTATGTTATTGCTACGCCTTTGATATAATGTGAAGAGCTAGTACTTCCATTATTTATCCAAAATGCAATTTACATAATCAGAAGGATATGATATAGCATACAAATTCAAAATAAAAGAAAATAGAACAATTTTCTGAACATATCAATATGGGTCCACTGGAATACGAGGAAGGAACAAGTAGAAAAAGGAATACCGACCTGCAAGCAGGAATGGCCAAAATTGCAACTCAATCATCAGCACAATAACATTTTGGGAACATGCCTTGGAAAGGGAAAGACAGTTAACTTCCTTTTTAGGCTTGAAAGGTGTAAAGAATTGTCGTCTTCTCAACATGGCTGCAGTTTACAAATAGTAATTCATTTCCGTACATGTGAGAAATTATAAAAATTTATTCTAAAATATAGAACCCAGGATGGACCTTGTGGCAGAATAGATCTTCTGTTAGCGAATTTCCATTGCAACCTTCATTAGTGTCACACTGTGTTCATGGAATTAATAAGAAACTTGCAAGCTCTAAACTTAATAATGTTGATCACATAGGCTGCTTATCAACTTCAGTTTAATGTGCAGACAGGCGTTGTATGAAAGTATTTGGATACTGTACGAGTATCCTCATGAAATTGTATCTTTGTTTTCAGCAAATTCATATAATTTCCCTTTTTAACGAGTTCTTTTTCCTATTGTGATCTAGCTACCTCTTGCAATTATACCCAATTGGGAAAATTTTGCTTTTATAAACTATAACCTTATTTGACTTTTGGATTCTTGATTATATCTTCTATTGGTAAGTAGAAAGAATAAAAAATTCAGGACAATTCTGTTCATAGTTATAGGCTTATAGCAATCATCACTGCTAACTATCCTAGTGTCTGATTTTTTTCTTTTTCTTCCCCTCTAGAAAAAGGAAATAGTTTCAGTGTTATCATATTGGACAATGTTAGGATCTTGCACGCTTTCCTATTACATATGCAATTTCATCGTAATGGTCTTTGTGTTCGATTGTCTATATCCCTGTACTTTTTGTTTTCTGTTTTCACTCTTGCTTGCTTAACATTCACATTCTGGAGCAAGGCTTTTAGACAAACAAATTTCACAGGTTTCACACTTTCCGTTTATTTCCTGTAAGAACAAACTTTTGAGGATCTTTAAGAGATCTGGTGTTTCACCTTCTTTTTTCGAAATTATTATGTCAACGCATCCCATACTCGACATGGAACTTCTGTTAGACATGTAACCATCATCTACATATGATTTATCCTTCAAATATTGGGCACTGAGCACTAATAATGTAACATAGCAGTTCTTAGTGCTTGAATCATATTCGTTTTCATCGGTAATGGGACAAAGTCACATTTGATTTGCAGTCTTAGCAGTTTGATACCATGTCTCACCATGATTGCTAATATGGTTGGTTCCAAAATTTGCTCTGAGTTGTTCCTTGTTGTTGCTTCATAAGATAGATCAAGGTCAAAGTTAGCATTATTACCATATATCTAACTGCTGATTGTAATCTGTATTGTTTTTAGGAATAGTGATCTTTATCCTTTCACATATTTGTACGTTCATAACTATTCTGCCCTGAAGTATAACTTTTATAGAAAAGGTATTAACTCTATGTATTCATGTTCAGCTTATAGGAAACTTGCAAGGAGTTACCATCCAGATGTGAACAAGTAAGTTCGACTGCCATTTCTATTTTTTCCAAAGTATATATAACATTAGTTCTCTAAGTTTGACTGTATTTTGTAATTGTCAAGAGATTCGGTTTGTTTCTCTGAATCGTTTTTGAGATCGCTAAAGTAAGTTGACATGTTGTATGTCCACCTGTTCATCTTGAGTTGGACACTCATACTAAAAAATGCTAAAAAACAGAATTACTTTATCATGATTTTAGCAGTCAAGCCCATGCTCTTGCATGTGCCCCATTTCCATGTAACTGCATATTGCAGTTATTTTAGATGTGCTTCAATTTGTTTATCACATGAAGTCAATTCTCTAAAGTGACAACATTCTGCAACACCTACTACTTCAAACTTGTGGATGTAAAGTGTCGAACTCATATTAGTTTCTATCGACCATTGATACTAATTTTTCTGGCTTGCATCTGGTTCTTCCAGTATCTGATTAACTAAGCTGGCTGGTTTATCCCAAGTTAACAGTTGAACTTAAGGGAACAAATAGCAGTTGAGACTAAGATTTATCCATCTAATGAGGTCGGCTGTTATCGACTCTTTGTGCATTAACGTCTACTACTCTAGTATCTGATTAACTAAGCTGACCTGACCTCTGACCGAAGGAGTAGAGTGGTTGTTTCCATGAATACCCCCCCGCTTGTGAGAGTGTGCGAAATAAAGAGAGTTTGCACAAAAGGTTCGAAAAAGAAAATGAAACAGAAAATCGAGTTAGACGTAAGCAACAACATACAGTTAATGCTCTTATTCATTTACTTTAAGATTTAGCTTACCTTCATTACCAGCTGTCTATTTGATAGGTGCTAATTAGATTGCAACTTAATTTTGTGTTCTCTCTCTTCCCTAATGCAAGTTGCTCTATTTTGCTGAGCATTAAACTAAATATGAGCTTTCCTTCCTTTTAAGTTTCACTTTTGAGAGTGAAACTCATAGAAATGCTGAGGTAGAGTGTGGACATATGGTCAAACAATGAGGGTGGGACTAGAGATGATGGAAGTATAGGGTTAGCGTGGCTCTGGTTTAGCAGAAGCTGATGCGACAATGCTTGAGATGGTTTATCACCTCCAAAATAGACCTCCAGATGCACTGGTTAGAAAAGGAGACTTGTACCAAAAGGAAGTTGTTAGTAGAGGTATAGCAAGCTTGACTTGAGTCAATGAAGAGAGATTTGAGTGATCAGAATATCCCAAAGAAATCGGGGTTAGAAGGAATGATTGCATACATGGCCTGGAGGCTGGAACCACAGGATTCTCTTCTTTATGCTTCTATCAAGGACCACTGCTTTATTATCTCTTCTAGGTTCATTTGATGGCTACTCTCAACTAGTTTAGTATAAAAGGCTTTCTGTGGTGAAAAGTCACGGTCAAATAACTGTGAATGATATCATGTTACCAATACTGAATTTTTTTATTCTTTTCATGCATGATGTCATGTTCAGGATTGAGTCTTTTTATGCATCGTTGCAATGTAGTGACAAGACTTTGAAGAGTTACTGATCATAAACGATGTGTGTTTGGTACTTATTTGCTTTGAATTTTAGATCTTTAAACCGATATTTGATCTATTTTAAATAGTAGGAATAAAAAAGACCTGCCATTGGGAACTATGTGGATGAGAAATGCTGCCAATATTTCAAGTGTCTAAAAGGGGCTTTTATGTTGATGCATTAGGCGACTATTAGATAAATAAGACGGGCTCAAGTTGTTAGGATTTGGTAAGAAAAGAATCACTAAAATCTTTCAAGAAAGGCTAATTTTGAATGTAAATGGTTGCATGTTTGTATCTGATCATCAGTGTGTCTGAATTGTTGGTATCCCTATTAATGAACAAGACCTTTAGCCATGTGAGCTATTTCTAGTGTGGGGTCCATTTAAGGAAGACCAATATGAGGACATTTTCTCTTAATTTCTCATAAGTGAGATTGTGGTGCCACCAACAATAACTTTATTTATTTGTCTTTGAAACATGCGACTCTGTGTTCTCCTAGTTCATGAGCACAGAGGTCCTCTATGCAGAAGGCATTATGCATTTCAAGTATGATAGACTTCTGAAAAACAAGGATCCTCCAGCGTTGTTCATTTCAAGTTTGAGATATCCACATAATGATACTTCTATATTATTAGATTTGAAAGAAAATATATGCTCAAAATAGAGATGGATATTGTCTGATAATTGGTCAATATTTTGGAAGTGGTTTCTGTAGATAATATTTATTATGGGAAGTGATGAGTCAAGTACCACACATTCTAACGAATACTCTTCAAATTTCCCGAAATTCATATTTTCAGTTTCCCTTTGAATCTAATTTGTTGATTTTAAACCTCTAAAAAAGAATGACTGCATTGATATGTAGTGCCTTAAAAGAGGGAAGCAAAAGAATTAATTTCTCAGTAATATTCTGCTCGAAAGCAGGGTCTGGGGTGAGATGTACGCGACCTAACCTCTTTCCCCAGGGTAGAGTTTTATTCTTGGATGTATGTGATGATCGTTATAGAAGTGGTATTGCAAGGGACTTGGACCCTTTCTTGAAATGCTTGCAGTTTTTACCATGTTATTACTGCTACTGTTATAATACACGACGTGCTAAATTCTTATATGATATCTACTACTTGTCGTGTGTTTGCAGAGAACCAGGAGCTGAACAAAGATTCAAAGACATCAGCAATGCTTATGAGGTAAGATCCCTGCTCAGCTGGTAAGGCCTTTGGTTTGCTCTCCAGAGGTCACCGGTTCAAATCCCCTCAGGGCTATGGACGGTTTGCATGACTTTTAATTTCAGGGCCCTATGGGATTAGTCGAGGTGTGCACATACCGGTCTGGAGACCCATGGTTATAAAAAATAAATTTATCGATGGAAACAAAATTGTGATGCAGGTATTGTCAGACGACGATAAACGATCGATATATGACAGGTATGGGGAGGCTGGGCTTAAAGGTGCTGGCGTTGGCACAGGGGTGAGTCCTTCTACCTAAAGAATAGTTAATTGTATATCCTTTTCAGATCTAAAATTTGTTGCATTTGCACATTCAAATTGGTTTACAGGATTTTAGCAACCCATTTGATCTCTTTGAATCATTGTTTGATGGCTTGGGTGGGATGGGCGGGATGGGTGGCATGGGAGGAAGAAGTCAACGTAACAGGGCTACACAAGGGGAAGACCAGGGTTACAATCTGGTTCTAAACTTCAAAGAAGCCATATTTGGTGTTGAAAAGGAGATTGAAGTAACCCGGCTCGAGAGCTGTGGAACTTGCAACGGGTCCGGTGCCAAACCCGGGACGAATGCATCCAAATGCACCACATGTGGTGGTCAAGGTCAAGTCATCTCGTCGGCTAGAACCCCATTGGGCGTGTTTCAGCAAGTCATGACCTGCTCTTCTTGTAACGGAAGTGGTGAAATCTCCACTCCTTGTAATACATGCAGCGGAGATGGACGAGTAAGAAAATCCAAGCGGATCAGCCTCAAAGTTCCGGCCGGAGTGGACGCAGGCAGCCGTTTGCGGGTCCGGTCCGAGGGCAACGCTGGAAGGAAAGGTGGACCCCCCGGAGACCTATTTGTGATGATCGACGTTCTTTCAGATCCCGTTCTGAAACGGGATGACACAAACATTCTCTACACTTGCAAAATCACGTATATCGACGCTATATTGGGGACGACAATGAAGGTGCCGACGGTCGATGGGATGGTGGATCTGAAAATCCCGTCCGGGACCCAGCCGGGGACGACGCTGGTGATGGCAAAGAAGGGGGTGCCGGTGTTGAATAAGAGCAACCGGAGGGGTGATCAGCTGGTGAGAGTGCAAGTGGAGATACCGAAACGCGTAAGCGGCGAAGAGAGGAAGCTGATCGAAGAATTGTCGAACCTTAAGAAGGGTAAAGTTGCAAGCGGTAGTAGATAAGCGATGGCGATACCGATACCTTAGAGAATTTTTTGGAACGATATGTATCGTGAATTTATATATAATTAGAGATGAGAATAGATGTTTAGCAGGAGTTTTTGATGCTGGTTACAAGTGCAAAATTCAAGAGATGTGGGATACAGGTTTACTTCTTGACTTGAAATAAGATCCAATGGAAAGATGAAATCCCCCTTGATTTTGAAACAAAATGTTTTTCTTTTGTTAAAATAAAATGGATATTTAATCTAAAATTCTAAATTATATATGTTTTTTAATTTTTATATTTAAAGTCTAATAAAGACCCAAACCGTCTTGATTAGACCGTCTTTTCGTGGTTTGGTTTGACCGGTCTGGGCATTTAATGTCAAACCGTTCGTTTTGAAAATTTTATAAACCGCTATTACGGTTTGGTTTATAGTCTGAGGGGTTAAACTGCCCACACCGGACCGCCATCTCGGTGCATCTCATCCCAATACGCATCAAAGGTGGATATCATTTCTTACACTTCTCACCTTACCTTTCCTTCTCAATAGAACCTAACTCTTCACCAATAATCCCTAATCGACTATAAATTCATTATTTACATTTATACTATTACTTTTTATTTTAAATTTTTTGAGTAAATTACATGTTTTGTCATTGTGGTTAGGTGTTTTGAATAGTTGAGAATTCAATGGTTTGTGTCTTTATGGTTGCAATTTTATAATGAATTGGATTCTTAATGCAATCGGAGGGACTCGGTCATTGATATATTTTGAGACCAAACTCGTTAAAAAAGCAACCACAAGGACCCAACTTACTAAAAAAATGCAATCACATAGGTGTAGCTTGTTAAAAAAAAAAACGCAGTCACAAGAACACGTTCCGTTGAATTTTTTTAAAATTCACAAGAATCTTTGAAAATACCTAAACATATGGACGAAAGATGTAATTTAGTAGTATTTTTATGAGTTAAAAAACATTGAAGAGCCCTTCGGCTTCATTTGACCCAATGGGTTTGAGTTCGTGGTCAAGTGGACTGGGCCTATGCTCAAGGTTTGTGGGTTCATGCCTAGGGACGGACCCATAATTTTTTTCAAACGGTGGCACCATATAATTAATATAGTATAATATACATCTAAAAATAATTACAAAAAATATGGTTTTTATAGTACCGATAGAGCTGTAAACGAACCGAACGTTCAGAGAACCGTTCGGCGGGAAGTTCGTTTATGTTCGTTTATTTAATAAATGAACGAATATGAACTATTTTCTTTTGTTCGTTTAGTTAAATGAACGAACATGAACAAGAGTCTCGTTCGTTCATTTATGTTCATGAACGTTCGTTCATTTACCGTTCGTTTATATTCGTTTATATATTAAGTTTAATATATTATCTTTTATTTATTTACTTTGAATTCAAATAATATTTTTTTATGTTCGTTTTGCCCATTCGTTTATGTTCGTTCGTTTAGCATGTTTACGAACGGATATAAATGAACACGAACACAAAGATTTTCGTTCGTTTACCGTTCGTGATCGTTCCTTTGTTCAGTTAAGTTAAACGAACGAACATGAACAAGCCTCCGTTCGTGTGCGTTCGGTTCGTTTACAGCCCTAAGTACCGATAAACAACTCCTAAACTTGTACCCTACGCGTCTTTATCTTTTGAAAACGGTCAATATATACCCAAAAATAATTACAAAAAGTATGGTTTTGGTTATTTGGGCTTTGTTTTGTTTGGGTTTTAGTTGCACCATTTGGATTTCAGGAAAATACGGTAGCACCTTCTAAAACGATACGGTAGCACCGTTAACAAACCTAAATTTTTTACCCTTCGGCCGCGAAATAATACGGTGGCACGTGCCACCCATGCCACCACATTAGGTCCGCCCATGTTCATGCCTAACTTGCTTAGAGATGGTTAAAAATCTGTCCTGGGTTGAGCGGGATTTAAATCGGTCCCCATCCCAAACACTATTTTTATAACTGAGTCTCGCTGCTGGTTAAAAATTCAAGGCCCGATTAAGGTTATTCATAACCGGTCTTGGGCCGGGCTCAAACCCAGTCCCAATTTTTTTAAATTCAATTTTGAATGTAAAAGATAATGTTGGAAGATTTATTTTTTGACAATATTTTATTGCAATACGTTTTAGAACTCCTGAATGGGTCATTCAAATATATTTTAAAATTTTTATACTTTTTTGTACAAAAATGTTATAGATGTTTTTATAGTTACAATTTCTGAGGATTTAGTATTGGAACACTTATAAAAACTTGAAAGACGCCAAAAAAACCTTGAAAAATTAATTTTTTTTGAAGTTTTTGGTAAAAAACTTGAAAATCTTGTATACATATCGAAAAACCTGATATAACTTGTAAAAACTTAATTCTTTTAAAAAAAATCGAGCCTATGTATAACTGGTCCTAATCCCATGACCTGTCTCGAGCTGGACCATGAAAATCGGTTAAGGACCCTCGAACCAGTCCCAAGTCAGTTGCGATCCAGTCCTCTGCCGATCCCAAGACGAACTTGACCCATTTGACCATCTCTAGGTCTAACAGAAATAAGAGTCTTGTTCATAATACATGTAACAATGGATAAATTGTGCTAGTCTTCTTTGGGCTTGTGATGCTCTAGTTCGTTGCCTGCCCCTAGGACCGGCGCTGATAAACATTTATACATTTATCGTTTTAAGTCACACCTTGATAAAGAAAACGTTGTCGGTTCACTATGGCTCCCAAGGCTTGAGAAAACTTCGTCCCACATCATTACTCACGTCATTTGAAAACCATGATATAAACATGTTATTACCATCGATCTCTAACACTGTCATGTCGAACAATCATTTCCTCATTCCTTTTACATTAACAAGTTACACGTATCATCCAATCATATAAAATGTCAGTCTTTTAGAAACGCTGAACACAGACATATGATGTCTACAAAAGACTTCTTTTGATTAGTTGATGAAGAGTGTGTTGCGTATGAGAAATAGGAAGACAAGTCCGAACAAGAGGTTTGTCGTGGCGTACTATTTCACCATTCATTTCACTTCACATCTAATCAATTGACTTATTCAATTAAAGATAAACGTTGAAGTCATTTTTATTGTATTATAGATGTGAAATATATACGTATACATAGATGTATCAAATGATCGTTGTGGTGGAGGGAGGAACAGACACTTGCCCTGGACCTGAAACCGAAAAAAAACACATACCCATTTTTTTTTTAGTATATAGCAATAGTTTGAAAAAGAATATATAAAACATGTCCAATTTTTCCTCCGTAAAGAATATGAACCTAAAAATAATATCGTAGATAATAAGGGTCTAAAAATGTACTGATAAAATAAATTGGAGAAGAATTGATGTAAAAAGTTAAATAGTCTTTCGTTTTGTGTCATTCCTTATTTTTATCTGTAATCTTTTTTGGTACCAAAGGGCCAATGCCATTGGCTATTGCTATCTCTATCAGCTTGATTACTATACTCATTTCTTGCTTTAACATTTTAATGGACGACGACTACAAACTTTTAACATTTTAAGGTTGTGAACCTGTTGGCGCTATCGGGGTCTGTAACTACTGTTATCTACTTCTTCTAATGGCTATTTCTATCTAATTTTGTTGTGTTACTGATTGTTTCTGCTACTATTGGCTATTATTATTTGCATATGTTAGAATCTTAATCTTAAGTCCTCCCAAATCTACAAAAACAAGAATGCGATAATAACCTATAATCAACAAGGAATTTTATTTTTGAAATTGATGGTTCCAAATTTTTTTTGTTTTAATCCCAAAAATTTAAAAACAATGATGAAAAACATTAACATGGTGGTGAGATATATATTCAACTGATTTACATTCTTTCACACTAAATATTGTTCCAAACAGTCAACATAATTAACCAAGAGATATCAACCGATATATGGAAATTATGTGTATATGGTGTAACAAATTATTTATGCTATGTTTTGATAAAAATAAGCTCGATAATAATGATTTTAAGTAAACTCCAAATTTGGTCCATATGGTTTGTCGGAAATAATACTTTTCATCTCTGGAGTTTTAAAATTATAAGATGGTTATCTTGTTTTTTTTATAATATTAAGATTTGGACTATCCCTCTAATGACCGTTCAAAATTCTGTTAATATATGGGCATTTTCGTCTTTTTATCAAAAAATATTTATCATTTACTTGATCAAAATCGATTTTATGATTTGGCCCTGTGGGTTTTTTTACAGGTAAAAGACAAAAAATCATTAAAAGGACAAAAATACCCCTTATTTCACGATATTTTTTAACGGTTGTTAAAAGGAGACACTAAAAGCTGACCTTTATTTTTTCTTCAAAGGTCCCTTTTACATACACCAGGGCCATTAAAATATTATGAAGGAGCTAGAATATCAAACATGAAGAGTATCACATTATTGTGGTTTGCAAAAACGTCTGATTTTATCATTTCTTTTAACGGGCGTCAAAGAATTCCTTTAAATAAGGGCAATTTTGTTCTTTTATCCAATTTTTTGTTATTTATCCAATCAAAAAATAAGGAGAAAAATCATAAAATCGATTTTAATTATATAAAACACAAAAAATTGATAAAAAGACGAAAATTAGCCTCTTTAACGAAAATTTTTAACGACCGTTAGAGGGAGAAACCAAATCAAGAACGTTTTGTAAACCACAATGTCCATCTTATAATTTTAAAACTACAGAAATGACAAGTATTATTTTCCACAGACCACAAGGACCAAATTTGCAGTTTACTCTAATTCTTTTTGTATTTTAAAATACTTGCTACACGTTTGATGCAGTTCCGGGTTCTCTGAAAATATCAAACATAAAATAAAACGCGAGATGTTTATTGTATAAAGTAGAAATAAAAAAACTAATAGAAACGTTTCAAGAGCATCACCAATGGATTTTTCAAGGTGAATATTTTGGGTTGTTTTTTTTTTTTGAGTAAATTGTTATTTTCATCCTTGTGGTTTGTGAAAGATTACGATTTTCATCTATATGGTTTTGAAATTTCGATTTTCATCCCTATGGTTTGTAATTTATTGCTGTTTTCATCTCTAAAACTAAATCTGTTAGAAATTTAACTTTATAGTATTTTAGCATTTTTGATTTTTTTTTTGGGTTTATTAAATATCTTTTTTTGGTATTTGAGTCTTT